AGAGAGAGAGAGAGAGAGAGAGAGAGAGAGAGAGAGAGAGAGAGAGATTCCAAATTTTTGGATGATACAGCTATTCTTTCTTCCCTCTAGACAAGAAACATTGCCTATCCTGACTTTTCTAATTCCTGGTCCATGCTACATGCTGAACCTACCATCCATCTATCTATCTATCTTTCTTTCTTTCTTTCTTTCTTTCTTTCTTTCTTTCTTTCTTTCTTTCTTTCTTTCCGCTGTTGATATCTGTGAGTTAATATAGATTGGTATTTGGATTATAGCTCTCTACTTTGGAGGAAGGTAGGTCTAAGGAAAACATCCACAAATTACTAAGTTGTAAAGGATATCTTACTGATTTAGTGAGACTATTAGTGTAAAGAAGGGTTCAACCTTAGATTAGTCGGGGAGACCTGGGCAGAAAATGGGGAGAAAAAGGTGGAGTTTTTCATATAAAATCACTAAATGTCTTAGGGAAAAAATGGTCATTGACATCACTCCAAGAAAAGTCCTGCATCCGAGAGTCACTACTACAGTAGGAGTTATTACCCAGGTTGTGGAATTTCATTTTTCCTCTACTTAGAGAAGACATTTAAAGAAGGCATTGTTCAAGCTCATTGGTGAGGAAACAGGCTATGGGAAGTTAAGAACCTGCCAAAAGACTCACTGCTTCTGAGAAGACATTGATTCACATCAAATCTGGAGTAGCATACAATACTTGCTTTTACACAAATTTGCTTCTCTTAATCATCAAGATTATAGCCTCAGCTTGCCTCAAACTCACAATCTTCTTGTCTCACCCTTCTCAGAGCTCAGATTACAGTCATGTGTCACTATGTTTGACTGTATTTGTTGACTTTACACACTGGAATTGAAAATTCTTTCTTTCTTTGCTTATAGAAAGCTAATTACTCTGCCCTTTGGAATGCCGCCATGCTAACTGGCTCTCCATCCATTTCAAGGGTGAGAATGATGTCTGCCGTTTGCTAAAGTCTTACAGGTAAAGTATTTCAATTTCCCAGTACTTAAGAATTAACTACAATTAAGTGAAAAACAAGGTTGAGGGGTAAACTTGGAAGCATGCTACTTATAAGATAGTGGCAAAGAAGAAACCTTTCAGATATATTTCAATGGTAAATATTTCTAATTTTTTAGAATATTTTTCTTCTGGACACCAAGGAAATTTCAACCAGAAGAGAATGCTTTGTTGGGAGACAGAGATGGTGGTGTAGGAGGGGATGATTCGTTTCAGCCTAGGGATAGGTTGGGGGGACGTTGGCATAGCTCACAGCTCACTGATGATACTCCTGTGATAAAGTAGCAGGGGTTTTATGGTTGCTTTATGTCCACTGGTTTCCTGATACATGATCTGGCTAAGTTTCTTCAACTCTCTCTGCCTCTGTTTCATAATGGACAAAGTAGCAAAATGATAGTTCCTGCTTCATTGTGAGTTTTGCATATGATCAGAGACAGAAGTAAAGGTTTTTTCAGGTACCTTGAACTTGCTGATGCTTGGTTCTGGAACAGGATTCCCAACTCATCAGATTACATTAAGTTAACCCCAAATACATTCTGCTGGGAGCTCTTTTTGTCATGTTTCTTTCCCTTTGGATTTCCCCTGTCCTGTACCAAAATGGATCCAGGGAGTTATAACATCCACATTGTTATTATCTGTCAGTAAGTTACAAAAGCTCAAATCCTGTATGGTTCCTCACACAAAAAAAGAGGAAGAAGAAAGTAAGAAAGTATGAAGCAAGAGGTTCAGAAAGTATCACGGTGTGGTCACCCAGTAACTAATTTTGAACAAATCCAAGATTGAATTGCACATACAGAAATTGGATTGCAAAGAAATCTCTTGGGGATTCTGTGGTCAAACTGTGTGTACCTTGTGACTCCCAGATACCTGGCCACGACTCTGTCTCTTGCCAGTTTCTGCCTTGTAATCTTGGGTAAGGTCAGTGCTATGTAACTTCCTTCTCTGTTTAACAGAAATGATGATGGCAAAATACATTTCATAAGGCCAAGGTGTGTTGATTAACTGGGTTATGAGACACACAATGGCCGAAAAGAGTAACATAAGATGAAAATAATATAGTTGCTAGTTTTATATATTGTTTTGCTTTGGCTTGTTTGTTCAAATATTTGGATTAGCTTTGAGACTCTGAGTAGAGGCTGGTACATTAACCTTTTTTTTTTTTTTTTTTGAGAAAGCCATTAATCCCAAATGTCCAACTGCTTCCCCCAATAGGATTACTGCAGTCTAGGCTACTAATGATTGTCTATTTCAATAATGCCTGAGCCGTAGAGCAGAAAACTGAGATGCTCTTATGCTCTACGTTCCTATCCCTTTGAAATCACACAAATTATTCAGTTACTAAATAGCTTGTTCTTTTCTGTGGAAACAATAATGGTGTCTGCCTATAGTTTCTCCTCCTTCCTGCCTCACTGATGTTTCCATTGTTGATCCCCTATGTGCTGGGTTGTGCTGTGTCTGTCAAGGGGATTGTGGATAATGTTAAGCATCTCACCCAAAGTTAGACAATGCCAGTAGGTAAACTGTGAGAAGAACCTTTGTATGCTGAGTGATTTCCTCTTTATACTCCTTATACTGTCTTCAAAAAATACAATGTGGCAATAGGTTTGCCATAATCTGAAGTGGGGTTTCATTGTTATCAAAGTGATGGGACAATAGGGAGGTAAAGCTGCACACCGTGACCTTGCCAACTCGATTCACAGATATGGAGATGGGTGTTGAAAGGTAAGTAATGTGGTAAAAGTTGCACAACTAAATCAGGAGATCTGGGGCTTGGCAGAGTGTCTACCAATCATAGGTGAATCCCTAAGCAAAGCTGTCAGACAGGACTGGGCTCTGAAGTGAGTAGGTTACTAAGCAAAGCAGTCAGGCAGCATTGGGCTCTGAAGCCAGAACAAGACCTTCTAGGCTATGCTTTTTTTTGTCTTAAAATACGAAGCCATATTTATGATGAACAGAATTAAACTGTAAGTACACAGCGATCTTTGGGAGAACCTATAATAAATCCCTCCCCCTTGTAGTAGTAAAAGTGCAGGTTAAAAGCAGTTTTTCGAGAACTGTAGCAAGGAGCAATGATAAACTCACCCGGTCAGCAACTCTGTAGACCTCTGTTTTGTTGCTGCAATCACACGTATAGGCAAAAACTTTCACATCACCTTTTTGTTTGAGCAGTCTACATGTTTCCATATTGCCTTCTTGATTAATGTCCCAGAGAACTAAAATGGCCCCATGACTGGCAAAATGCATGGCCAGTAGCCTTCCAAGTCCACTACCAGCTCCTGTTATAAGTACAATCTCTCCAGAAACATTCTTTTTCCTTTTAGGAATTACTTTGAAAACTAAAGATTCTAAAAAGTAATATAGAAACTTTCCAAAAAAGATGGCTGTGTCTGCCACTGGATTCATGTTGATTGATTGAAGAAAGCAATGTCCTAATAAAAGGAAAAGTAGTTGTTAAATCTATTTTATTACAACAGCTGCAGTTCAGTGCATCATTTAGTACATGGGCTTTATATTTGAGACAGTATTTTCAAATTATAGCATTAGTAGAAATTGTTATAACTTATGAGTAGTAAATTATATAAGGAATGATCATGATAACATTATGTTAACAAGAAATATCTTAATTATTAAATTATATCAACAATAATTATGAGAACACTTTATGTTAATAATAAACATCTTAATTTATAGGACACCCATTTTCAGATAATGTGATTGATAGCTAGGCCATAGATGATAAGAATAGCTTTGTAGTTAAGGACATAAAATCTTTATGCCATCACTCACTCAGCCTTACATGATAAATAATCTAAGATTGAGGACATTTGGTCCAGCCATTTGTTTACTGCATTGTCTTAGTTTGTTTTCTATTACTGTGATAAAGATCACGAAGCAACAGTAACTTAGGGAAGAAAGGGTTTAATTTACCTTACAGGTTACAGTCCGTCATGAAGGGAGGCCAGGAAAGGAATTAAAGATAGGAACTTGAGGCAGAAACTGAAGCAGATACCATGGAGAAATGTTGCTGATTGGCTTGCTCAGCCAGTTTTCTTATACCATCCGTGTTCACCTGCCCAGGGGAGGCACCATTCACAGTGAGCTAGGCCCTCCCACATCAATCACCTCCTAGACTTGCCCTATAGGCCAATGTGATAGAGGCAGTTTTCTCAACTGAGGCTCACTTTTCTCAAATGACAATGGCTTATATCAAATTGGCAAGACAAAACAACAACCCTCCCCAACTTAGACAATATGAATGAATCATCTTAATGATCTAATAGAAATGCTTTTCCACTTGGCAACTGTTTAATAATAATATAGAAATAACATACTACAAATATAACCTCTATATGTTTTCACCTGATTCATATAATAATTTTTGGGTCAGACAAGTTAAGTATAGTACCGCTACTTTATACTGAAATTGCAAATCTTAAGTAATTTCATTGGGCAGTCACATAGTTAGCTAATCAATGGCAGAAGTTTCTCTCACTGTCATTAAGGTCTTTTCAGCTAGAATAGGCTGTTCTTGGAACTAATGTGTCCTTTACCCACAGCCATTTTTTAAAAAAGAATTATTTATTTATTTTATGTATGTGAGAACACTGTAGCTGTCTCAACACACACCAGAAAAAGGCGTTAGATCCCATTACAGATGGCTGTGAGCCACCATGTGGTTGCTGGGAATTGAATTCAGGACCTCTGGAAGAACAGTCAGTCAGTGCTCTTAACAGTTGAGCCATCGTCTCTCCAGCTCCCACACTTTTTTAAAAAACAGTTTTTCTTTTTTCTTTTTTTAAATTTTTATTTATTTTTAAATCAAATCGTAATTTTTACTCATTCACACAGGGGTTATAAACACAAAAAGGCAGGACATGGGGAAGGGGATGACACTTATAGCCATCTGTTTCAATGTTTTTCCACAGAGACCCAAGACTTGGTGTTAGTATACATGTAAGACAGGCCTATTGCTGATTTTAGGCCTGCGGCTGATTTTAGGCCTTCAGTGTGTAAGCAGGGATGTCCCTGACAACTCCTCCCTTCTCTAAGTATAGAAGGGCTGTGGCAATTCTAATCTTGCAAAGGCAGGGATAGAGGCTGACCTCCAGTAATTGAAGGGGACCTTGAAATGGCTCTGGTCCCTCTGTCATTTTCCAGTGAGGCATGAGGGCCATACCCATCCCAATGTCTTTTTCCTGGAGAGGGGATACTTTTGACATCAACCCCTATGCAGTCAGGCTTGTCCCTCAGGGAACCCAGAGAGATATTTTTAACTTTTATTTATATTCCCTTGCAATGCTTAGCCTCGCAGCCTAAGCAAGAATTCAGATCACCAGTCAGAGGGGGTTCTGGGTGGCCCCTCTCTGCTTGGTCTAGGGACAGAAGTCCCCTCTTTTAGGTTGGGTGGAGATGGGTTTTGGGAACACCCTGGATAGAGTATCAACTTCATCTTGAGTCTTGTGATCCTCCATAGCTAACTTATGATAATGTTTCTGAATAGTTTTTGCTACCAAATTATCTATCTGTTGTTTCACAAAGTTAGTCAGGTTATTTAAGGCCCAGGGACCAAAAGAAATAAGCAAAAATGACTCAATTAATGGTGGTTGGGTAAATTTTTTATTGGATATTTTGTTTATTTACATTTCAGATGTTATCACTTTTCCCCATTACCCTGCCCCATAAGCCCCCATCCTATCCCTCCTCCTCCCTTTTGCTTTTATAACATTTTAATTACATGCAAGTATTAAGGTCAGTTCTAGGTTGAGGAACTAGTAATACAACAGACAAATAGCCAAGGAACAAGCAAGACAATAAATACAAATAGTCAAAGAACAAGTAAGGCAATAAACAAAGTCCCATGATCACTCCTGTGATCACTATTTCTAAGGACTTATCAGGATGACCAAAATATCTGAGCCTACTTCCCTGTCCTAACCCACAGTAATTTTCATGCCTGAAACCTACTTCTTTGTTTTAGTCTAAGATTTATATTCCTGCCTGAAATTATTTCTTTGTTCTAGCCTAAGATTTAGCTTTCTGCCTGAAATTACTTCTTTGTCCTAGCCTAATATATTCCTGGCTGAAGCCCATTTCCTTGTCCGTGGCCAATGTCAGATTCCTGCCAAGAACCCCCAAAAGCTCTCTACATCTCCCCCCTTTTTACTTCATAAACAATACTGAGCCTGTCATAGGTCATTCCACATAAACATTCCAAAACCACACTCTTAGCTTGGACAATCAGAATATTTTACTGCACTTCTTTTCTATCTCTGGTAGAATCACTTGTAAGTACTTTTCAGAGATTATTCTGAGTGTAGTCAGGTTTCTTCTAGCAGGTAGCCATGTCACAGAGCCCTGGTAAAATTACTACTCCTGATAAAACTAAACCCACATCAGCATCTACTAGCAGCCCACATTCAGGTTTCCCTACCTGAGCTGAATATCCATAACAATCATGCACTATGTTTGGTTACATCTTTAGTACTCTGGGCTCTGCCCCCAATAAATTATAATTTATTAAGGTTTCTTTATGGCAAAGTCCAACTTTCCACTGTTTAATTATCAGAATTCAGAAGAATCATTTTTGGGTACCCGGTACTACATTGCTCCCTACAATCAGTGACATAATGGCTCTTCAACGTGTTTAGTTTTAGAAGTTGTTTTAAGACCAATGATAAATTGTTCAGACTGAGTTCTTATGTACTCATGATCTGTGTTGTCCCTCTTTTCTCCAACTCCTACCATGGATATTTTAATAGCACAATGGAATATCCGATATGACTTATGTGTAAGGCACATTACTATCATTCCAGTCAATTTACACTGAAACTCAGCCTCAGTGTTGTGTGTTTCTATGGCAGTGACATAGGAAATAACGTCCTGTGTCTGTTATGACTGTATAATACAAAGTGTCCTCATATTTGTGTTCTACTTGTCCCCTCTGTCTTCCTCATAATCTATGTCAACCAGTAATCCTGTTTTTTCCAGAGGGTTGATGTTTCTGGAATGTCAATATACAGTCTTTTAAATAGTTTTCTTTCATTAAATGCAATGTATTTAACATTCTTATGAAGCTGAGTGGTGGCTTCTCCTTGGTTCTTGTCTTTTCAATGGAAAGAACTCTGCTAAGACACATGGACAGTCTAATCAAAAGTTTATTTTGCAAAACAAAGCATACTCAATTTTATGTAATTTAGTCCTGTTACTGGCAGCTTCATTTGGTGACAAGAAATATCCAGTTGGGACTTTATCTCCCTCATTGTTCTGTGGTTTCATTTAGATCATCATATATATATATATATATATTGTATATGTATATATATATATATATATATATATATATATATACATACATATGTATATAATGTTAAATTGAAGCTTGATTATCATCAACTTAACAGATAATATCCACATATAAGCAAATACATACCACATTTATATTTTCAGGTTTGGGATACTTCATTCAGGATGATCTTTTTTTCCCATTTCTTTCCATTTACCTGTGAATTTCATTCTTTCTTTTTTAAAAAAATTGAAAAAAGATTCTCCTTTCACAGAGTAAAACCCAGTTTCCCCTTCCTCTCTTTCTCTACTTCTCCTAGCTCTCCCAACTTCCATTTCCTCCAGATCTATTCCCCCTCTGTTTTCTCTTCAGAAAGATCAGATCTCTAAGGGAGTACATCCAGACAGGACAAAACAAGATACAATCATATTAAGGCTGGTCAAGGCAACCTAATAGGAGATAAAGAGTCTCAAGAGCAGGAAAAGAATCAGAAACACACCCATTCCAACTCTTAGGAGTCTTATAAGAAAACTAAGATAGCAGCTGTAACATATATGTAGAGGACCTTGTGCAGATCCATGCAGACCCCGCGTTTGTCATTTCAGTCTCTGTGAATTCATATGAGTGCTGCTTTGTTGATTTGGTTGACCATTCCATGGGATGCATCTCTGTCTGGTTAACGGTAGCCATTTCCTTTCCTAAGATTTTCAGTTTCATGGGATCCAATTTATTAATTGTTGATCTTAGTGTCTGTGCTATTGATGTTCTGTTTAGAAAGTTGCATTCTGTGCCAATGCATTCAAGATTATTCCTTACTTTCTCTTCTATCAGGTTCAGTATGTCTGGTTTTACGTTGAGGTCTTTGATTCATTTGGACTTCAGCTTTGTGCAGGGTCATGGATATGATCTATTTGTATTCTTCTACATGCAGACATCCAGTTTGCAGCAGTATTTATTGAAGATGCTATCTTTTTATGCAATATGTATTTCTGGTTTATTCATCTATCTATATGTGTATGAATTTATGTTTGGGCCTTCAATTTGATTCTGTTGATCAATGTCTATTTTTATGCCAACATTATGCAGTTTTTATTACTATAGTTTTCTAGTACCACTTGAT